TTTTGGAGACAAAATAATAAGTAAAATGACTAGATCATATGGAAGTCCAAAATTTGAAGAAAAATAGAAAAAAACCACTCCAACAAATGAACAATAAAAATGAACAGTTTTAAAAGAATGAAGTACAAATCACCAATAAATATATGAAAAAAGGTGTTCATCATCTTTAACTACTAAAACTAAATGGAGATTCCACTTCATCCCATCAGATTGTCTGTCATAAGGCAAAAACTATCAACAACAAATGATGACCAGGATGACAGAAGAAAGGAACCCTTTCACACTACTGGTAAGGATACAAATTAGCCTAGATAGTGCAGAAGATGGATGTTCTTTTAAAAATTAATAAAAACAGAACTTCCACAATTTCTCTGTCAATATTCTTCCATGGGATCAGGAATAGGGAAAGTATAGAATTTGACACTCAAATTGTAGTCCACTTCTCACTTATAAATACCAGTTATTTGCAATGTTACCCTAAAGCCCCCACACAGAATTGGCACCTCCTTTATTAACTCACTGATACCTTTCAATTTTGTAGGTTTATACTGTCACAAAAATGTCTGGAGGGGAGGAAATTATTACTCCTTTGTATCTATGTGAAACTTTCTGAATATTACCGAGGTGTGCACAGTACATATTCTATACTATATTCTTATAACTGAGAAGAAAGGATAGATTAGCTGGGATAGCGGGGTATTATTTCAGTTATGTTCAAAGGTGATACTTACCCAAAAGAGCAAGTTAAAGAAAAACAGGACATATTTCAGCAATTTCAAGCTGCTCATGCCCATGCTGGGATAGTATGACCTAAAAGGCAGAAGGAATAAGAAAGGAATTTTTATGATGACTTAGCATTGTAAGGTAGCACAACAGACTCCAAAATGCAAGTGTTTAGGGTTCAAGGATTATCACCAGCATTTTGTGTTTGAACTATTTATCTCTCCTCTGGAATGTTTTCCCCAAATCTCTGCTTTCATACTTTCAAAATTAAAGCCCAGGTTGAAAAACCATCATCTTGAACGCTGAATGTTCAATAAGCAATGTTTGGTGTTACCATAAACCCAACAACAGAGCTATTCTAACAAGAACATGAGTCACAGTGATACATAATAAGCCAGTGCTTTTTTTTTCCTGTGTGACATTAGTGACATGTATGGCTACTCAAGAATATCCTTTGAGGCCATGGCTATATGATTAATGCACATGGTAGAAATTCAGTGACTTGATCGGCCAGTTCCTTAACTGTCTTAAGATTCATTACTTACTAAATTTGTTGTTGTTTATTTTTGTAACTGTGTTTAATTACAACATCTATCCTGTCCCATTCCTCCAAACCCTTTCATATACCCCTCCCAACTCTTCTTCAAACTCATGACCTCATTTTTCATCAGTTGTTACTGAATGGTCTATAAACCTCTCCATATGAAAGTACAAGGTGATATACATATGCCTCATTTGTCCTTTATGCATAATTATCTATATAATATTTCTGTTCTAGATATGGCCATGGCTAAGTATTAAATGTCTTCAAATAGATGTTGATCCTATAGCAGAAATGAAACACACAAATATATAATGAGGAAGTTAAAAGAGACCACAATATGAACACAGTCTTTTAAATGAAGCTATCTTTTTTTTAAAGCAAGGATACCAGTGTGTGGATGTATATGATGTATTACATAGTATATGCAGACGTGTATGTGTGAGCACCAGAGGAGTACATCAGGTGTCCATTTCTATCATGCTCTGATATATGCACTTATGGAGATGCACACACAGAGGGTGGAGAGAAATGGGAGGGAGGTAAAGAAAGAATGAGGAGGAAGAGAGGAAGAAAGGGGGAGGGAAGGAAAAGAAAGAGAGAGAAAATTATATCTAGACAATGACCATCTAGATAAACCAGGGCAATCTCATTTTACAATATGAATATGAATGTGATAACAAATGGCTGTAATCCCGGTGCTGGGGAGGCTTAGTCAGGAGGATTACAAATTTGACATCATCCTAGGCAACATAATGAATATACATATGTATGCAAATTAGGCTGCTAAAGCTAAAACAGCCTAGCCTGAGATAAAAATATACTGAGATGTATTAATGGAAGATAATGGTATATATTAAATAAGAAAAAATGAGTGAATTTTAAGGTAGTAAGAAAAATATCAAAAAAGGACATGCAACAAAATGTAAATGAATAGACCATCTCTAGATAAAGTAATGTTGGATATTATAATTTGTATGTAATGGGAGTCTCCAAAGGAAGAGAAAAATACTTGAAGAATTAATACCTGTAATAAATTCTGAATTA